CTTCAGTGGCAGCCACCTGTCACTGAAGCAAATAATATTGATGGTTTACTGCTGAAGTCATGATATGCCCCAGACACTAATTAATATTAAACATGAGGCTGACAGCCACCAAAACACTGTAGACTGGTGTAACCTCATGCGAGAGGAGTGTAAGGTGCAGATGAATAACAATCCTGATCAGATAGGTGGATGCTAATGGGCAGCCTATTGTGGTGTAGATCTATGACTGCAAGTACTTTCACAGGAATTACCATCATGGACAACGGAACAAGGTTCATTAAGTCTTTGGTGATGTCAAAAAAAAGAGTCTTGAAAATGCTTCCTACTGGAAGTTCCTGATTGTTCTGTCAGAACACTCACTAACGCACATATTCTGGTGAGGGTCTGAGATTACTCTCTTATGACCCCGGCTAGTACATTGGCTACCTACTCCATTTGTTGAGCTGAGCCATATAATATTTTCCTCACATAGGGCTCTTTCACCACCCTGGCTTCCCCAAGAATATCTAGTGAGGAACATTCAGTCAACAGATGGGCTAGTGTTTCCTGGACCAGGCTGCAATGCCGGCAGTTAGGGTCCCTGTTATGATCTAGCCAGTAGAAATATAATCCCCACTATGGGTCTAGTCTGTTAGGAGTTGGCAAGTTAGCAAAGACGTCTTTAGCTGACGTGTTATCTGCCCACTGCATGTACCACTGCCAGAACACTTGAACCTTTGATTGTACAGCAAATATTGTTGGTCTCGTACATAATGTGTGATGGTTGGGCATCATCAGACCTGTTTACTCTTACAATTTTGGTGTACATTGTACAATTTTGAGGTGTATACATTATATATACTGTATGTTGATTTTTTTTACTATAAAAATAAGGTACTGGACGATTTGTGATGATATTGTACGATTTTAAGAGTTTGCGGGTAAACAGGTCTGCATCATATGCTAACAATGCAAACATTCAGAATGGAATCTACATGCACTCTACATAATCAACATTTCGTTGACCCAAATGATCCTGCAGTCCACACACAAAAAGTGTGACAGTGGAGAATATGTTGACATGGGCAAAGAGAAAGCTGCAACACCAGTTTGGAACCTCTAGGGATCTCTTTCCATCAAACATCCATGAGTTTATCTTTCAGTGCAAGTTCAACAAGAATGATAATGATGACATGTTCACGTCCGTTTCTCCACCATGTTTGCTGACAATTATCATGTTGATTTTCATACTGAATGTCATCAAAAACATGTTTTTGTACTGTTCGGTGCTTTATTTTCATTAACGGTCACTGGTTTTTGTGGCACCTAAATTGGACAATTACTATTATCTTAATTTTATGATATAATTATAAGCACAATAATGTGTATTGTGATTGTGAAGACTAAGACTAGGCGTCTTAGATGTACTTGTAACTTGTCATAATTATTTTTTATAGTATCATGTTAGTATGATTGTATAGTTGCAGTAAAGTAGTAGTAGTGTATAGAGTATAGAGAAAAATCGTATGGTCTATTACAGTCTTATCAGTCTACACTCAAATTCAAATCAAATGTAACGTATGTTTTATGTATGAAAAAATCGATAGGCTGTATAAAGCAGCAGCTGATGCTGTGACGCTATTTACAAAAATAGATTTTATAAAATAGTTAACAGATAATATCTTATAGCTGCGAGCTCAAGCGCAGTAAAGAAATCAGGTCAAGTCAGTATATCTGAACCAAACGAATTAATATTAATTTAAATATGCAGACTTACCCAGAACGAATTCCCATTGCTCGTTCCCCAGAGACCTTTCTGGAACAACTTCTAGGTCGAGCATTTTATATCCAAAAAATGTTAAACCATGAGTATAGAATATAATTTTAATGGTAAATGGTATAAGTAACTCAAAACTAATGTTTACAACTTGAGGTAAGATTTTCTCGCCATCTTTGTTTTGCTTATGACATTATTAAAAAAAAAGTTTTATTAAAAACTAAACCGGAAATTACATGAACTGAAACTGAAAAGAAAGAAAACAATCCAATCTGCCTTGGAATATTACAATAATAATACAATTTTTTTTAAAAATAATCATGTTTGGGCTTCAATTTAACTAAATAGATTTATAATTTCACAAAATTCTTCGACACACAATTATAAAATTTTAATTTAAAAATCGTCTGATTAGGCTTAACTTTAAATTAAACGTCAGCAGGAACAGCTCCCAAGTAAAATTTTATTTAGGATATAATTATTATAATATGATAATAATACTTATTAATGAGATCGGATATGTTTATATGATTTACATTACTTTATCTTGTTAGTAGAATGAACAAATTATCACATTTTTCGGTCATGTATCTTTATTCATATACATCAAAATCGTGCGACACCTGTGAACTTTGACCCTTTGGAAATCGCTGCCTTATTAATATTTTTATCCAAATTAACATTTATTCTTATTATATACAAAAAATATTAAAGCCTTCAGTAATGATCAAGATTTGTCTACAATCTTTTTATTTTTACTTTTAGCACCGGAATATCTTAAAGAACTGATCTATGAACACGTATCCTTAAAGTTAAAGCACCCGCGGTCTCCAACACAGTCCTTACTGAGAGTTCCCAGTGTGGATGGACACAGACAAAAGTCTTGCGGAGTGCGCTCTTTTGACGCGATTGCGCCTAAATTATTGAACAATTTGCCCCAATCTTTGAGGGACATTGAAAATGATTTTTAAAAAATCATTTAAGAAACATTTAAATACTTTTTTAAAAATTTAAATAGATTTAAGAACATCAGAGCGCCGTGAGCCTCCTAAAGTAGCATGGACACAAGCGCTATATAAATATTAAATTCAATTCAATATACCCCTATCCACCAACCCTTTAACTACTCCGCCCACTGACCATATGACACAACTGCCCACCGTCCATATGCCATATGACGCAACTGCCCACTGACCATATGATGCAATTTCCCACTGTCCATATTAAACAACTACCCACCGTCCATATGCCATATGACACAACTGCCCACTGTCCATAGGACACAACTTCCCACTGTCCAATGACACAACCGCCCACTGTCCATGTGACACAACTGCCCACTGTCCATGTGCACAACTTCCCACTGCCCATAGGACACAACCGTCCACTGTCCTAATCAAACCATTGTACAACACCCCCGCCCCGTAACACAGAAACCCTGTCATGTCTGTAGTTTGTGGTTTACTGATGGGCGGGCCTTCGTGGAATGTCTCGCCCCCCCCCCCCCCCCCCCCCCCCCACCCCCTCTTTTTGAAACGCTCAACGTATATTGCGTTCACTAAAAATTTGACATTTGAAAGGAATTGTGGGAGTGGCTAAAGTCACTAAAGACAGTTACTCCCCAATCAGATATTCAAGACAACGCTCGCAACACTCTAATAGTAATTTCAGCCAATTGTCCTTTGAGTCCAGCCCACAGACACTTGCCTGGGAGAGCAATTAAGCAACTGCAAAGTGGTTTGAGGCTATGATTTCGCAATACCTAGTTGACCTCCGACCTGGTGATGAGAGTATGCGGAAACCTTTGCAATTACTGCGAGGGTGAATATTTTATGGTGCATTTCGCCAAACAATGTTAGCGCTACGCCAATTTTAGATGTCAACTTAAAAGTGGACATTGAAAAAAGGAAAGACGGAAGATAGATGTGCCACCCCCCCCCTTTTTTTTTTCGCCGTTGCGAAATATATATATATATATATAACATATTTATTTAATTATTTTAAATGCCTTTCATAATATGCAAGTCAAGGTCAAGTGATTCGCACATGTAAGAGACGTTACAAATTCTTAATTTTACAAATATATACACACAATCAGGATAGGATGTTCGTTTGTAGTCTCAATGCACTTTCATTTCCAGATTAGCAGAGACATGAATAAACAAGTTGTATCAACTACGTCTAAAATTTAAACATTATACTCTCTGATATGCTTTACTAACGGTTAGTCAGTGTTGGCCTAAGGCTATATATTATGGGATCAGTGTGGTTGATAGCGGAAGCAGTGTGGTTGATATACGGGAACAGTGTGGGTTATACATGGGAACAGAGTGGTTATCTCAAAATAAATGCTCACGTTTTGTAATCAATTATATAAACACTTTGCGCAATACAGGAAATTGCATTCGGCTCGGTTCTATTAGCTGCGTGGGTACATTCGATATCAAATGATTTCCAGCTCAATGAAACAGCAACTTAGTGAACACTAACTCTAACATCTTTGTCTTTATGGCTATGCCATGCCTATCAAAGGCATTACAACGTTTTCTTTAAAAATAAATGCTTTGGCTTTATGGTGAATGAGAACTGATAGGTGCAACTGCGGCACTGAGTTTAAAATAAAATATGTAGACCTCATAAGATCAGAGCCTAATAATTCGATATTTCAAAATGTAAGTTAGTGGTGACGAAATATCAACCGAACCCTCCCTCTCATAATGATATGGTCGGAAGCGATCGTGAGTCGCCGTTTGGGTGTTTTCCACTCAGCTGAGCGATGCGGGGTTTCCTCGCCTAGTGAAAAGACAAGGGTATCCTCCTCTTCGACCGCTAAAAAAGTCGCGGCGATGAGAATTTCCGCCTCGCCTCGCGTTTCATTCCTTATTTAAAGAAAAAAAAAAAAAGCCCCCGATATCGGTGTGGTAGAGAAACTAGGTCAGCGATGCCCTTTTACGGAAAATGAATATCCACCCCGTTTAGAAAAAAAGAGACGGAAAATTCCATATATGGCAGAGCTAATGAATATTTAGTAGCTTTGAAAAAAACTCGTAATCCCGAACGGAATCCGAGATTGACGTACTCGGGCGTTGGGAAGTAAATAACCCATATATGGTTATTTCCGTTGTCGAAAATATCCGAGAATCCCCCGCCGACCTCTTCGCATCACGAAGTATCGACCAATGAAAAATTAAGACGAGTATGAAGCAACAATCACGTTTTGTTGTGAACTAGAAAATGAATGAAGATCTCCCAGGCAGCATGTTGTCATTCTTGGGGAACACATTGTGCTGTGTACTGAGGGAAAACTTTATTTTCGCTATGCCTCGGGTCGTACCCGACCAACGGGCCACTTTTGAAAACGATGAATTGTTTAGAAAATTAAGAAGAGAAAGCGAGGTATGATTAGTATTTTTATTTTACACCGGTAGATAATTATTTTCTCTCTCCTTTTTTTTAATATAAAAAAGAAGAAGCGCCGTGTGGAATTTCCAAGGGAGTGTTCTAGTTTTTAGTAGATATATTGGATTAATTCAGTGAAATTGATTTTTGTTCGAATATGCCGGCTGTTTATTCTTCACGGATGTGGATGCTCATTCATACTTTGGATTTATTAAATTAGTTTATTTTTCTAGCTTCATGTGTTACCTTTTTTTCCTAAGTTTTTATTTCCTCTTTTAGATAATGTACACAACGTATCGCAGTAGACCCATTGAGGAACAACGGTTAAGATTTCAGGCGGACTGTAGTGAAGGACACGCTGATTTGGTAAGTTGGACACTCACATATTTTGTTACTTTTATTTGGTCACTCATTAGTAATCATGTTATTATTTGTTAACTGCATAATTTTATGCGCCTTAACAAATATGTAGTTTGGAGAGAAAAAAAAATCGCGTCTTCAAAATTGGATATAAAAATACTCTGTGGCTATTAATGGCAGCTGATCTTCTTGAAATAAAATTAAGCAAACGATATGCAAAGTCTCTCCTCGTTGAACTAAAATTTGACAAGGTGACTCTTGGTTTGGGAGTCTAAGACGTCGCCTACATGAAACCAGGGGAAATTTAAACTGCACGGGATATTACTGGGCTACCAAGCTTAGCTAGACGCAGAGCGAAATCTAAAGTTGGACGGCAATGTAGAGAAATCTTGAAAAAGTTTTCATGACAACAGTAAGCATGACCTCAACTCTTAAAAAGCAGACAGAGATGCAAACACTACGGGTACACATACCACATGCGGACATGCTCCACGGGGACACATATCACACGTGGTCCAAAACCACACGTGGACGCATACCACATGCGGAAACATACCAGGAAGTAAAGTCCATAGCAACTAAAAAAGTAATATTTCAAAAATTAAATAAACAAATATATACAAAATTCTCGAAATGAAATGTAAAGAAAATTAAAATCTTGGAAGAGTTTTAAAAAAAAATGTTTGTCGTATTCGCACTTTACCGGCTTTAGACGGAACATCTTCTTGGACTTGCTACGTTTTGTCTCTAAATATATTTGCTTCATAACACTGTTCAAAAATGAGAGATGTCCCATGCTAAGCCCGAAATGGTGGCGGTATACATTCTACGCATAACCAATAACTTATTTTTGGACAACTTCCTTTTCTTTTTCAAACACTAGCATCAAGTATTTAACACAAATAGCCCTGTCACACAACTGGCTAAGGTAGGTGCAACATTTAGATAGACAGTAAATTCCTTTCCACCAGCCCTTCTCTTTTCAAAATTTTGAAATTTAAGGATTGGTGAGGTAACGATACATATTTTTTTTTATCAGGCTGTTAGCGCCACCCATATCTGCGCATGGACGGTTATTTTGGTGAGAGGGAATTAGGCTTCAGTAAAACAAAAAAAAACAAAAAAAAAAACAAAAACAAAAACGAAAATCCGATTATTGAAATTAATGTTTTAAAGTTGTAAAAAAAAAAAAAAAAAAAAATTAATTGTTAACCAATGGGATGACGTCATGTTTAAAACATGTTTTAATTTTTAAAGAGTTGAAGAAAATATTTAATTTTTGTCGTGACCAATATTCCTAAAAGAATATAGGCTACGGAACAATTCATAAGCAAATATAGGCCTATCAATTTAAACAGCCAAAAAAATGTTATTTTATATCTTTTTAAAAAATGACTTAAAATACCATTCTTATTAGACCCAATTGTGATTAACTTAAAAACAAAAATCTTTTTTTTTAAAAGTTTGAAAACTAATATTCTCATTTTAAGACTCCCGAAGGAGCAAAATGATTTGAATGGAGTTTATTTCATTTCGTTAATTCGTTGTTGACTTTTTGTCATGTGAATTAAAAAAAATATATTTTTTTTAAAATCTTAAATTTCACTTTTTATTCTTTGATCAACTTAAACAAAATTCCTCTCTAAATATTCAATAAAGTTCCCTTACAATGAAAAGAAATAGAGATGATCAGCCATTTAAACTTGTAGAGTAAAACTAATCATTTCCATTTTCATTTAATCAATTTTAGGGTAAAACATTATATATGTAAATTGATATATATAAAACATATATATATATATATGTAAAGGCAAACGTTTTCAGTTATTTCATATCATTAAAAAAAAAGGATTTACATTTTGCAATACATAAAATTGTTATAAAATATTAATTTCCTCTAAAGATTATGAATAACTCCTGTAAAACTTAACACGAAATTTATTAGTTGGTTATAGCCCCTTTTATTTCCCCACTTTTTTTCCTCTCCTTTTTTTTTTCCTTCTCCGGCTTGCTTGTGTGAAAATTTTTAAGAAATTGCCAGGAGGGTTTCCTAAAAGGGTTTATTCGCCTCACGCGCATGCCCAGTGCTTTTAGTTTTAAAATGGAATTACTAAGGTATATAAATATGTGTATGTATATGTTAAAATATTTGAAAGTAGAGGTACATAATCTTGTCAACCAAATAATCTGAAAATTCAATATGGCGCTCCATCCATCCACCAACGTTTCGTTGAATTGGCCTTCATTTGCCCTTCATTTGCCCTTCTTTTAGGCATGGCTCACTAGTTGTCAATGCGCTATGGGTAACGAATGTGTTCATTTGGTGCGCATCATGGTGGGAAATAGCAAATGAGAGCGCATCGCGGTGCGCAGTGAGAGCGGAGGCGGACAAGATCCACTCGACAGTTATAAGATAACATCATTAATAATTAATATCCACTTACCCAAAAAAATATATGATGTAAGAAGTTTTGAATCGCTAATTTTCTACACGATATGTGAACTGTCTAGAATTCGTGATTTTATTTAATTAGTCTAGAATCCATGGTCGTATTTTGTCTAGAATCTATATTCGGAGTAATTCTTTTTTCCACGGCCGTATTTAGTTGGGAATCCATGGTTGTAGAATTCATGGTCGTGTTTAGTCTAGAATCTATTGTTGTGTTTCAACTAGTTCCATGGCAGTGTTAGATTAGAATCTATGGTCGTATTTAGTCCAGAATACATGGTCGAATTTATTCCAGAATACATGGTCGAATTTAGTCCATAATACATGGTCAAATTTAGTCCAGAATACATGGTCGTATTTAGTCTAGAATCTATGGTCATATTTAATCCAAATCCATGTTCGTATTTAGTCTGAATTCATGATCGTATTTAGTCTAGACTCTATGGTCGGATAACTCTTTTTCCATAGTCGTATTTAGTCTTTTTCCACGGTCACATTTAGTCTAGAACCCATAGTCATATTTTAGTCTAGAATTCATGGTCCTAATTACTCTAGAATCCATGGTCGTATAAATATGACAGGTTGAAATCTAGTCAAAATTTAGACTTTAAATTCACACACAATATAAAGCATAACCTCCCCATTATATACACAAATGATATTCCTATTTACAATATGACGTTGAATCAAATTAAACAATGACAATAAATATTTGCTCAAGTTAATTAGACTCATTATGTGCGTGTAACATATGATCAACCCTTCCATTCTTGTCCAGCAATTGTGTTATTGGCTTTGACCTTTGAGTTGATTGGGAAAGATTTCATTGGACGGTTCGTCACGTGGTCATTAGTCTGCCCAAGGCACATTTTTATTTTTTTGAAGGCGGGTGACACATCCACGACGCACCCAGTACCGGAAGTACTCGGTCTAGAACTTACCCAAAAGAATGTCTTGCAGTAAATTTTTTTTTTAAAGCTGTGTAAATCACGAAGGGCAAATATCTATGGTATATGAAAAAATATCTATTGTATATGATACAATATCTATGGCATATGATACAATATCTATGGCATATGATACAATATCTATGGCATATGATACAATACTTATGTTAATTAAGGAAGCGACAACTAGCACACGATGAACCATGTTTTCGGGGTCAAGGTTTGGCTTTCTTGTTGGCAAAATAACGCATACAAATCATATTGTGTTAGTAAATGAACACAAGCTGTGTTTGAAATCCCAGCTGATATTTTTCTTCTGTCCAGAACAATTTGGATGTGGGGGGTAGGTGGGGGGTCCCTCGAATCTTTAACTTTTTACTGCCATTTAAAACTATTGTAAAATTCTATGCATTTCTCAAGATTTCAAATTTTCATTATTAGTTGAAGAGAAATTTCCAATAAATCAAAGTTTAGTCATACGATTTTTATTTCTTTTCCTCTTAGGAATACATTGTGTAATTATTTAACAAAACAAACGAGTTTTAAAAAGTGTACAAGATTCATAAAACCTGAAAGTGTTATTGAGAAAAACGACACTTGTAAAATCACTATTTTGTAAATGAGTCGTATTACGTGCAATATTAGAAATCAGTCCGAAGAATTATTCAATGAAAGAACATTTTTAAATTCCTTTCACGAAGGAATAAAAAGTTTTAAAAAGTTGAGTGGTTGAACAAAATAGAATCCGTCTAAAGCAGGCCCGCACAACATACTGTACGCGGGCCACATGCGGCCGGCCAGCACCCACCCTGCGGCCCGCGATGTAAGGAAATATTCTTTCTTTTAGCATTATTTTCTAAATAGCTTCCCCCTTCTCCTAGTTTAGTCATACGATGTGCATGCTGTGGGTTGTCGTGGGACAAAGACGAACACAAACTGTTTATGAGGACGGTATAAAGACGAACATAAACTGTTTATGAGGACGGTATGAAGACGAACATAAACTGTTAATGAAGACGGCATAAAGACGAACACAGACTGTTTATGAGGACGGTATAAAGACGAACATAAACTGTTTATGAGGACGGTAAAAAGACGAACACAAACTGTTTATGAGGACAGTATAAAGACGAACACAAACTGTTTATGAGGACGGTATAAAAACTAACACAAACTGTTTATGAGGACGGTATAAAAACTAACATAAACTGTTTATGAGGACAGAGGAGTTAGATTTCATTACAAACACATTAGAATAATCAAATTAAAAAATTCCGGTTAGATTCTACTCATTAGAACATATCCCCTAGGAACAAACCCATTATAAACTGCATTCTAAAAATTATAAACTCCCCACCTAAATGTACATTTTAGAAACTACCCACCTAAATCTACATATTAGAACCTACCCACCTAAATCTACACATTAGAAACTACCCACCTAAATCTACACATTAGAAACTACCCACCTAAATCTACACATTAGAAACTACACACCTAAATCTACATATTAGAACCTACCCACCTAAATCTACACATTAGAAACTACCCACCTAAATCTACACATTAGAAACTACCCACCTAAATCTACACATTAGAAACTACCCACCTAAATCTACACATTAGAAACTACCCACCTAAATCTACACATTAGAAACTACCCACCTAAATCTACACATTAGAAACTACCCACCTAAATCTACACATTAGAAACTACCCACCTAAATCTACACATTAGAAACTACCCACCTAAATCTATATATTAGAAACTACCCAACTAAATCTACACATTAGAACCTACACACATTAGAACAGAGGTCGGCGAACTGTTTTAGCCATTACCCCAAAATATATTTGTTTATGCCGACGTAACCCCACCCCCTCCCCTCCCCCCATAGCAAAGAAGAAAATCATTGTCATGGACTACGGTACTTAAATAAAAAATTAGTTTATTGAATTTATTTATAGGGAGAATACAATCATAACATTATTTTTACAAGTACAAAACAAATTCTTTAAAATAAATTCGTTAAAATAAATGAATCAAATCCTCATATTGGAAAAAGAAAATGATGTCTTTGAAAGGTGTTGACCTCAAATTTTGTAGAAATGGTGTGTCCGTTTCAACAATGACATTTATTTCGCAAACACCTTCTGGGATGATTGTCTACCATATTTTCCATTTAATGCATATTAGCTTTGTTGCTCAAGGTTGAAATGGCTAGAAAGACTTTGCCATTGTATGCTTGTAATTAGTTTTTGTAGTGTTGCGTTTGTTTTAAATGTGGTAAATTATAGATTTGTTTTTTGTTGACTTTGTACCGCGCTTCGAGCCTTTGGGGATGAAGCGTGTTTTTGAAATGAAGTTTTTATTTTATTTTAATATATATAGTTTTTTTAATTTTTATTTATATTTTGTTTTTGATTTTGTTGTTTTTTGTTTGGGGGGGGGGGAGCGGGTTGATTGACATTGAAATAAAAATGATCAAATATATATATATATATATAAGTATATTATTTAGTTAAATTACCTGTTGACCCTTTGGAGATTTTTATGACACGTTGTATATGTTTCTGACCCTTTATATATGTTTCAGACTTATTAGATATTTTTTCTGACTCGCTAGATATTTTTCAAATTCGGTAGATATTTCTCTGACGCGCTGGATATATTTCTGACCCGCCAGATATGTTTCTCACCCGCTGGAAATATTTCTGAAGGCAAGACGTCAACGCCGGAACATGAACATAAATTACCTTCAGTATAACTGTATCTTTTGGAAAAATTACTAATCCTACTTTAGTCACTGATGTTTGTTGATTTGCTAGTGCAAACTCACGGACAGCGGAGAGGATGCTCAGACACGTTAAAGCTGCAGAAAAGCAAAAACAATTTCAGCTATGGTAAACGATAAAAATGAAATAACAGTCATTTGTGAATTACAAACTATATAAAGTGTTTCAGGCCTTCCTCACCTCCACCACCCCCACCCCTTCCCACTCAAACATTGACATTTTATGCGTGTAATTAGTTTTTGTAGTGTTGCGTTTGTTTTAAATGTGGTAAATTATAGATTTGTTTTTTGTTGACTTTGTACCGCGCTTCGAGCCTTTGGGGATGAAGCGTGTTTTTGAAATGAACTTTATTATTATTATTATTATTAAATTTTGGGGCTTTCTTAAAATTTTAAATTCAGAGAAATTTGGATCCTGTCTTTGGGGATAAATGATAGATTTATGTGTGTTTTTAATGTTCATTTGAGTGAAAAATCCTTGTTCGCAAAGGTCAAAGGTTGTCGTATAAGGCATGACATTTTTTGACTCGTGAGCAAAACCTTTGCATCTCTTGAGCTCTAGTCAGAGAATAATCAGGTGCGCCTCCGGGGGTGCGCACCGCAACCTGGGAACCCTCCCAGTGGTTATAAGTCCTTTACAAGGTGTTGACACCCTCACAGAGGGTAAGCACCCTCACAGGGGGTAGACTATTGACAGTCTAGTCACAAGACTGACCACCAAGACTATTGGCTGTCTAGTCACAAAACTGACCACCAAGACTATTGACAGTCTAGTCACAAGACTGACCACCAAGACTTTTGACAGTCTAGTCACAAGACTGACCACCAAGACTTTTGACAGTCTAGTCACAAGACTGACCACCAAGACTATTGACAGTCTAGTCACAAGACTGACCACCAAGACAACTGACAGTGTAGTCACAAGTCTGGCCACCAAGGTTACACTGACAGATTTTCTTTCTCTCCTCCCAGGCATTCGTGAGCACAGGCACAAATCTCCAGTTAACTTTCACGGCCAACTCTTGGTCAGAACGACCGGAAGAGAGGATACCCACCCGGGAGTTCGTCAACTTTGACATCGAACCTGGCAAGGTAAGACCACTCTAAGCGTCAATGACCTCAATAGTCTTTTTGTTAGCCTTCGGTAATTTAAAAAAAAAAAAAAGAAAACATTCGACACACCAAATGTGATCCAAAAGTTGTTTGATAAAGTTTGGATGACCACATTTAAATATTGAAGCTCTTGATAACGGAATAACCTCCAACTATCTATGTCCCTGTAGAGATAAGGGGCTGACAACTATGGATGTCCCTGTAGAGATGAGGGGCTGGCCACTATGGATGTCCCTGTAGAGATAAGGGGCTGGCAACTATGGATGTCCCTGTAGAGATAAGGGGCTGGCAACTATGGATGTCCCTGTAGAGATAAGGGGCTGGCAACTATGGATGTCCCTGTAGACATCAGGGGCTGGCAACTATGGATGTCCCTGTAGAGATAAGGGGCTGGCAACTATCTATATCCCTGGATGTCCCTACATCAGGGGCTGACAACTACGGTTGTCCCTACACCAGGGGCTGGCAACTATGGATGTCCCTACATCAGTGGCTGGCAACTATGGATGTCCCTACATCAGTGGCTGGCAACTATGGATGTCCCTACATCAGGGGCTGGCAACTATGGATGTCCCTACATCAGGGGCTGGCAACTATGGATGTCCCTACATCAGGGGCTGGCAACTATGGATGTCCCTACTACATCAGTGGCTGGCAACTATGGATGTCCCTACATCAGGGGCTGGCAACTATGGATGTCCCTACATCAGGGGCTGGCAACTATGGATGTCCCTACATCAGGGGCTGGCAACTATGGATGTCCCTATATCAGGGGCTGGCATCTATGGATGTCCCTACATCAGGGGCTGGCAACTATGGATGTCCCTACATCAGGGGCGGACACAAGTTTTACATGGATGGTCAAATTTTAATATGAAACGTACTCTTATGTTCCGACCGAGTTTTGACTGGTTGTCTTTGTGGAGGGAAACATTAGTACTGTAAAACATCAGCACTATACAACCATGAGCACTGTAAAACATTAGCACTGTAAAACATTAGTTCTGTAAAACATTAGCACTGCAAAGCATTATAACTGTAAAACATTAGTACTGTAAAACATCAGCACTGTAAAACATTAGCACTGCAAAACAGAACTTTAAAAAATTAGTACTGCAGACATTAGCACTGTAAAACAGAGCGTTAAAATCTAAGAATCTAATCAAATAAGTGACTCTTGGACTAGGGTCATAGGTCACATGACATATTTGTTTCATTGCCGTCCCTCATCACACTGCATTCTATAGGAGGGTTTGGCCTGACTCACCCCTTCCTTCCACTCAGACGTATCACTTATCGGATGCTTTTCTTTCCCAAGCCTTGATTCCAAGCTTCTGAAGATCTGTTTCTTTTATCATTTATAGATTGTCCATTTCTCCCTGTCCATTTCATTCCATACATTTCTCCTTGTCCATTTCATTCCACACATTTCTCCTTGTCCATTTCATTCCACACATTTCTCCTTGTCTATTTCGTTCAACACAAATCTCAGTGTCCATTTTCCCCCTCTCATTTCTCCTTGTCCGTTTTGATCCTCTCATTAAATGAGACAAATTTTGTCCTTGTCCATTTGGTTCCACACATTTCTCCTTGGCCATTGTCCTTTTCGTTGCACCAAAATCTGTTCTTGTTTTGTTTGGCCTCAGAATGCTTTCTTTTAACAAGTCACACCCTTAAATGAAGTGCATACTCTCTGGACCAGACAGGCCATTTTAAGTGAATGTAATTACGGACGGCTGCTAAGATCGACTTGTTAGAAACCTTTATAATGTAGGCTACAAATAGTATCTCGACTGTTTCAGCTGACACAAATAACGAGAGAGAAGTGTTGTAAGAAGGTGATAAGATGGTGAAAGTGCTTGGTAGTAGCTTGGTGTCATTAGAGCAAGGATGTCTTTAGGGAAGTGTTGCCAGCATTGTGGATGTGATTGGAAGTGTTTTATGGCGGGGTCACACGATCAGACAGTTCCGCGCAGCTTTCATGCACCGTCTTAAGCCACAGTCAAAAGTATCATTTGTGATGAAATATATATCCAGTAGAACCCGGTTATGTCAACGGCCTAGGGGTTTGACAAAAATAGTCGAGATAACCGATGATCGAGATAAACGAAAACCAATATGTCGACAATATACTAAAATTTGTTTGAAATTTCTTTATGTACATGATGTGCGTTAGTAAATGAGAATGAGTTTAATACACTAAATAAAGCCTAAATTTTAGGCAATGCCTAATTTAATAATCTAAGTCAATAATAATTAATAGGCTATAGGGCCAAATCCTAATATGTTTTAGGCCTATACTAGGTCTAGGTAACTCTATATTACATTTAGACTGACCGATTAGACTGTATCCTGTATATTAATATTATAAATACTTTATTGTTGAAGTACTCATTTTAGTCTTAGTTTTAGGACAGCTTGCTTAGGCCCATACTTAGGCAGATGTGGGCAGAAATGGGTAGATGTGGCCAGAGGGAAGATGTGGGCCGATACGGAGTCTTAAAATGCCATCATAGATTAGTAACTTTTTATTTTAAAAAAGGATGGGGTGGGTGGGCTCATCTCTCCTTCCTTCCTACAACTACGACCACATCAAATAGTACGCGGTTTGGGGGCTGTCCTACCATAATGTGCTACTGGAGAAAGAACGGCCAAACAGTAACAACGAAAGGAGAAGGGGGCGTAATCATGCCTCACTCCGTTTTTTCTTTATCCTGTGGCATGTCAATCAGTGCGGTCCGCACCTCCCTACTGATACAACGCGTTACAATCTTACGGCCTACACCTTTGCATTCAGTAAAATATGTCAACGTAATAATACCATATACGTAGTACGCCGTTATTTGGGTCACTCAATTTAAGCAAATTCAATTCATGTACTTTGATTATTGTGCGTGCCTACATGTTTGCTGGGGATATCCGATTAAATACTTTGGAAATAGTGTTGAATCAAAACATCTAAACTTAACCTGGAAAAGCCTGATCTCTAACAACTTAGGCCTGCCCATTAAAAAAAAAAAAAATTAATTAAAAAAACAATATTATTTTTTAAATTGGAATATGAAGATTGACCGTCTCGGACCTAAAATGCCTCCACCCTCCAGACTAGATCGAATCTTCCTTGATTAAAACTACTTGACTTTGGAAATTTTTATAAAAGCCCCCCCCCCCCCAACACTCACACCCTTTGATCTCTCTACACCTCCACAGCGCACCTGCCTACACAATTTTTTAGGCTTTGAGTCAGCTGACCACATCGGCCTACTTTTAACGTTAGGGAATCCCCTTCTCCATTCTTTAAAAAAAAATGGGGTTACACACTCGTAAAAACGACCTTGATCTGAGTGGGCGAAACTCTACGGAATTTAATTATATTCACGAGTCTTCGACCCCCGAAACGGACTTTCCGGAAGTTGATAGATTTACGCAACTTATAAAAACGAAAGGAAACAGTTTCATTTTCGTGATGGCCAAGCAACGGAAACGATTAAATTACACTCCTAACATTCAAGATGCACACATTTTGCAAACTACCGCGACAAACTCTGTTGCAATAAGAGAAAAACATTTATGAAGAACATATTTCGTAAAGCACAACTTTTAGTCACAACGAATGGAAGTTAGCGCCCGCGGATTTCGCTCTAGAAAGCCTCAAACTTCTACTTTAATGAATTACTTACTCGAAGTGGCTAGTATTACTCGGACCCTGCGAGGTTGGGATTAAAAAAATTGTAAAATAATATTGTTGGGGTTGAAAGATAAAATTTTGTATCGAATGAAAGATAATTGAATGGACTATATGTTTGTAAAATTAATTCTTCAGTTTAACTAAAATAAACTGCCACAACAAATGATGTCAAATGACATCGAAATAGCATTCAGTTCATTTAGTCAAAATTGACAAAATGGATCTGGACACGCATCGCCGCTATTGGGACCCAGGTCCCTTTAGAGTACTTTAGACTAAATGCTATTCGGATATCATTTGTGGTAGTTTATTTTAGTTAAACTGAAGAATTAATTTTACAAACATAGTCTATTATAGTCCATTCAATTATCTTTCATTTGATACCAACTTTTGTTGTACAAACCCTACAATAATTTTAAAAATATTTTTTAATAAACCCAACCTCTCACTTCTGATACCGGGTCCAAATAGCCACAGACTTATTCATTAATTAATGTCATTAAATTAATGTTCATTTGCATAAATATAAATTATCCCAACTAAATAGCCTTAGTTTACTTACTATATATTTTTTAATAATTATATTAAGTGATTAATACAAATTAAACAAGGTTATTGCCGCAATTTCATTTATTTTAAAATAATTCAAAATAATTGTATTACTTAGTTTATGTTTATATAATAATAATATAATATATATATATATTAATATATTATATAATATCTAATATAAATAATTATTTCTATAATTACTATATCCTGTAGGCATAGGCTTATGAATGTGTTACTAAATATAAAATTGTAGGTTATTAATTATTAGTAGCCATAGTCCCATGACCATCAGAACCATGGCCATGCTATAGTATAGTATAGGATTCTCTTGAACTCAAACCATTTTTTTCTCATCCTAAATTTCAATAGATATTTCCTGCACCCCCACCACAAAATTGCTAATAATAAATAAAAATGCAAATGAACCTGATTTTTCTGGGTATTTCCCGACCCCTGACACTGCCTCCCACAACATATGGGGTTGGAACATCCCTGGTTAAGAACCCCTGCTCTAATCAATGCTTCTGCATCTATGCAGTATTTGTATGCTTATCATTACTATCAAAATAGACTTGTTAATAGTGGGATGATAAGGCCTTCGCAGCTCAAGCCTGCTAACATCAGCCACTATGCCAGAGTAGGCCTACTAATCTTCTTAATTTTAAAATGAGGTAACCCAGAAAAAAGTAAGCTATGTATCAATTAGATATAATCCTAAATATCTTAAAGCACTTAAGTATTAGATACTTAGTACTACCTGTACACAATGTTCCTTCTAAGGTTTGTTGGTTTGTGTGCAAAATCAAAAAGTTGTGTGCAAAGTTTTACAGCACATTGACACAAACACACACTTAATGGAAATTTGCTGCGCGGGACTCAAAACTGCTGCACGGCGTCTGTGAGATAGCTGCGCGGCCGCGCAGCTTAAAGGGAACATAGCCTGTACATCATCAAGCCAAAATATCTAGGCCTACAACTATCTCAACTGTAATAGAGTAGACTAAATGTGTATAGAAGTATAATGTAGTACTTACGATTTATCAATTATCAGTATAAGTTTCATAATTACTTATGATGATGGCATTGATGATTTCCCAAATTATTATATTATGTACAATTTTATTAGAATATTTTTGTTGTAGTTTAGTGCTACAGAACAGCCTACAGAATGTAGCCTAGAGACCATATTAATGAAATCAAATAAAGTCAAACTATATATTTTTGGATGATTTTTACACCAACCCCCCCAATCACATTATAAAAACAATTGTCACACAATCGAGACACTAATAATACATTTTTGAAAATCCCCCCCCCCCCCTCCCCCAACACACACACACACAATGCATGCCATCATGTTTTAGGCTAAAAATATTTATTTAAAAATTCAGACTTAAAGCTAAATTACTTTGTCATATTTATTTGTGCAATCTGAAATAGTTGCCTTTAACTAATTATGTTCTATTTGCGTACACAAATCATTCAATCAATGTTATCATATATTTTAAGCCTTTTTAAAAATCTGATTAACGAAAAGTTCAGATTCCTTAGACTGGCTGTAGAAAAATTGAAATTGAGGTATTAATTACATTTTAGCCATTCTTTTTTTTCTCTGAAGATCTGAAACTTAATAAAGCCTGGACACAAAAGCTTTATCAAAAGTTAAGCAATGGCTGTGCTTTTATTGATCAAAATAGTTAAAAGCTGAACATTTAAGTTAATTTATGTCAATTGCATGAAATACCGCTAAAGATACATTTTTAAGTTAATAATAGAAATAGAAGAGCATACTTTTGTCATTAAAAAAACAAACATACAAGGACCCAGATTTTTCACCTTTGTATAATATTTAGTGGTGGAATTTTTTATTTTTACAATATAAGCTTTTACCATAACATACCTTTTTATACTGGTTTATTTTAAACCACTAAATTATGTCTAATGAATTAAAATATGAACAATCTCTATTGCCATTTAATTTAGATACAATATCTTATGCTTTTACAATACGATACTTCTCAATTATTTGGCGTTTTCTTTTTTTTTAGTTTTAAGTTTGTAAATGAAATAGTATAATCGAGATCAACAATTAGAAAAAAAATTAAGAGCAGATGGAAATGTTTTGGCTTCGGAATTACTCTAAATTTTAACGTCTGATTAAAATTTGCAGAATTAAGGATTTAATCAACTTTCCCTTTCATTTTAGTCAGACCCTTAAAACCTAATAATCAACATTCCACTAAAAGCAAAGACTATTTTTTAGTTGCGATTGTTACACTGACATTTATATGAGACTTTTATTATAGAATGTTATAAAGCAAAGTTCATCCAATCCAGGTTCAATTCAATGGATAGGGATATTTCTTTAACACTGCAGATAGAGGAATAGTTTAATATATAATCTTTAAATGACTTTTATATCCTTTTCAGGTTCACTTAAAATCCCAATTTATATTAAATGGTGTCTGTGTGATGTTTCGAGGCTGGGTCGACTTGAATAGCGTGAGGGGCATTGGATGCCTTGAATTTGATGAGGAAAGAGCATTAGTAAGTAATCCGTAACATTACCCATGTCATCTTAATGACAAACTTTCATAAAGCTTCCACTTGCTTTGTCTTATTTTAGTGGCAAATTTCCTCTATAAGTTTTACTGGCTGTCATCAGTTAGTTGTAGACTGAGGGTTCTGGCGTAGTCACAGTACATTATAATAATTTTATAAGTTTTAATAATCAGATGTATAAGTATAAACTAAGAAATACTGTGTTTATTGATTGCTCTGGTTTCATTTAAAGATTTATTTTCAAATATTCCATAATGCATTTTTGTAAAAAAAACATTTTTTTTTTGGCTACTCAATTTTTTTCGCTCTTAATTTGTTAATTACAATTATTATTTTTTTAAAGATAAATAATTGCATTAAAGCTAAATTATAATAATGTGGTCTTTTCAAGCTGGAAAGTTTACCCAAAAAACTTACTCTTACCTATTTAATATTATTTTCTGTTATTATTTTCGTGCAGAAAAATAGTAGATTTAATTAATTGAATATAAGTGTACATTTTTAGCAGGATAAACTTCAAGAAAGCAAAATTTAATTTCATGAACCCATTTATTGACTTATTATGTAAAATGATGTGACAAGATAAGAAAACCAAAACAAAGTAGTTTAACTCTAGGCAACATAATTCAGTATAAAAAGTGTACAACTATTCAAAGCCTATCTCTAGGTGCCACCTCAAGTTGCATTTGAACAAGTTTTCTTGTTCAAATGACCTAATGAAGTTTAAAATTTGTAGATAATTAAATATGATACACAAAATTTAAAAGTTAATAAATGAATAAGGCTAAATTTTAGTTTTGTTAACTGGGGCTAAAAAAGGTGTAACTTGCTGGAAACTTCTACATTGAATGCATATATGATAAAGCATCAGTAAAAATTGATTTGTCCACAAGATCACTCTTATATGTCATTTTCCTCAATCCACAATCTTGAGTTGTTATGTTTTCAAAACCAAAAGTTACAACCCTGCATAGAGTTATTGCCCTTTATTTTGTCCAATTAACTTAAGCTTTTTGTTGTTTACCCAGGATTAATCTAACAGAATATGTATGCCATTTCTTTGTGTGACACACATTCAGACCATCCTTGAATCATCAAAAAAAGCAGAGAACAAGGAGAATTTTAGCCTTTTTGATGAGGAAATTTCTACTAAGGACAAAGACTTTTAGGACGGACATTTGAACTGCTGCCAAGCTGTCTGGCATTGCTCATGCTCTTAGAAAAAACTCAAGAAACGCATAAAGGGTTCTGTAATTGCAACCCATATGTTAAAATTTCTTAACCCCTGAAACCGTCTACTCTTTACATGCACCATGCCCTTTTTTTGAAGTGGGATTACTGTACAATTGTTCCCAGAATGACATGCCCACTTCACTCTGAAGAAATAAAAATCCCATTCCTAGCCTTCCATCTGCCAAGATTTATTTAATTTTTTTTTGTTCAAAAACAAATATGGTCATTAAAGAATACAAAAATACTTCTTTTAAAAAAAACAACAAAAAAATAGGACATGACAAAGACTCGGCCTGAAAGAAAAGCCCTAAGAAAGTTTCAGGGCCCAGACGCCGCATGTGCAAGTGCTTGTCTTACATAGCCCCTGTGAGCTCTGTTATATTCATAGCTGAGTCCTGGGCCTCACAAGCAACTTGCACTTGTACCAGACAATGAGGTGAAGAAAGACAAAGAGGGAAAAAATCAATATTTAGTGGGGTACATGCTTCAAGCTCAGCTGTCTTACATTATTTGCCAGCATTCATAAGACAGGCTTTTGAGATTTAGCTGTGAGCAAATGTCCTCCTCCCCCCCAACTCCTAACTGGCACATGCTTCCTTCAAGATGCCACTTTTCTTTTGCTTTTGGGCTCTGATCCCCAACAAAGCTGGAACCAATTATAAATGTGCTTTGTTCACACTCTGTTAAGAAGAGCAGCTGATTATGTGATTTCTCCTTAATAATTCTCTTGAGTTTTTTTGTTGTTGAGAGGGGTGGGTTGCAACTCAACAAAGTGTACATTGTCCATGAACTCCTTCTGACTTGCTCAGCTGTTGGCTGCCATCCAGAGGGTATAATAGTGCAGCGGGCGTGATTTTCATCACGTGTCCCACTTATTTTAATTACAGACAAAAGACCAGGTGATTTACTCCGTTACACACTCCCTGTCCCTACTTGATTCTGTTGTCGGACCGGGGGGGGGGGGGGGGGGGGGGCGCAGGGTGATGCTCTCCCTAAACTGCCAGCACCTGGTCTAACAGATACGGTCTAACAGATATGACCTCACAGATTATTGGCCCGGCACATGCTGCATGGAGGGCCCCCCATAGTTTTAATTAAATTTTTACATCCATGTCAAGGCCCACCAAAAAAAAAATGCTTCAAGAGGGAGCAGATGCCAGATGAGATAATATGTGAACTGCTGTGTGCTGCGACCACTCAGCCAGGGCCAGTTTCCACACTCGTCATCTCAGTCGCCGCTCGTCCTCAATAGTCGTGCCTTAATTTGTTTCCCATTGCAGGTTGAAGATGCGATTCTCAGGGAGCAAGTGGAGCACAACAACAGAAGGGTCCAGGAGTTTGAGGACCGGCGCATGCAGAGGCAGAGGTAGTTCAATCATTGCTATGTATCTCTTAACACTCTCATGGAGACCACTCATGCCACCCCCCCCCCCCGACCACTTGACCTTGTCCTTGTAACTGATAGCACTACCAATCCCTCCCTTGATCTTTGCACCCTGTTACTAAAAATCCTCAACACTATTATACTAGTGAACTCAGCATACAAATGTCATGTCCTTATGTCAAAAGAGAGCTGAAAACAATTGTATTCCTTTTTCCAATGAAAACTAACAATGCTACTAACATTGATTGTGTATTGAAAAGTCATATTCCTCTTGATATGTCTTTCTTCATTGGATACAATCAATTCACATTGAGATAGTTACGGCTCTACATTATTTCACAGAGTGTCTGGACACGTTTGAATGAAATGAGCAGTTAAGATTGATGTCCATCTTGCCACAAGTCAATGGTCCCCATTCGTTAGATCTATTAGCATTGAACCTGCTGGCATTTCATTTCTGTCAGTCCATTGGAATATGTATTACATAAATGACGAGTTGTGTCGTCACATGTCAAAATCCACCATTCTAATGCAATCCGTTGATCTTATTGAACTGTGATTGTATTTACCCGGCCCCCAACTGTCATGAATGGTCTCATTCATTATTCACTCTTGCCTGTTGTATCTCACTATTATGCTCGTTGTACAGTCATATATTTGCTTGTTGTACGTGAATTTATTTGCTTATTGTACATGAATTTAATTTTTGTAATTATGATTTGCCATTTTTTATACACAAATTATTTTACTCCAAAATATGTAATTTATAAATGTTTGTTTATTCATATCTATCTATCTATATCTATTTATATATCTTTGAAAAGCAAAGATAACACACACGGTTATTTGGTTGTGTATTGCATATTTTTTTTAGCATGTTATTGTGATTGCTTTTGTCATATTTGATTGGTTGTTGAACATTGTGACCCAGTGACCTTTATATCAGCCTTGAGGTTGAACTTGTGGATAAGTGACATTGGACAATCAGCCTTGAGGTTGAACTTGTGGATAAGTGACATTGGACAATCAGCCTTGAAGTGGACCATTGACATTTGATAATTAACCTTGGGCAATGAGTTTCTCTTTGTCTCAAGTTGAAGGGACCACGTAGACTGGTAGTGTTATCTTACGTGCTGGGGAGATCATACAAATTACGTGCACGCCAAACTCATTCATCACTATATGTTATTTCTAATGTTTTTGGTACACGTGAGCCTCTAGGCCTACATATCAGTCTACTTCCACCAATTGAAGAATCCATGAGTGTTTCTAGTCATAAACAACATGAATTTTCATTCTAACCCTGTTTTCCTTTATGTTTCTGACAAGACTTATGGATGTGACATTGACGCAGTTGGTGTTGATCATTTCAGCTCCTGTGATATTTAACAAGACATCTACATGACATACTGCAACATCATTCCACAATGACATGTTTGTTACTCTAGCTTACAAAATCAGCTCATTGAAAGGGTACCTCATTACTGTTGATAAACCAATGCAAAAATTATCTCTTGTTTATGTGTAGAGAAAAATATTTTTAACTTTAACAAAAACAGATTCATCTTAATTTAATTATTTTTTTATTAAAAAAATCTTATTATATTTTTATATACATATGGGGGGAAAAATAACAGAGTTTACATTTACACTACATTTGCTGTTCCTTCATTGTTTGTTTTCTTGTGTTTGCAAGTGTTCTGCTGCCTGGTTAAATACTCATTAATATAATGTCAGGATGATACGTTGAAAGTAGTGCAAATAAATGGTATGAAATTTATAGAATAGTATAGCACTAAATCACTAGCCCACTCTTGGTTTCAAGCTGCTTTGATGAAATGGAGTGTGTGTGAAGATGCGGGCATTCATTTAAATTACTGGACCAAATGATAAAAACCGTAAGAAGTGTGCTGTTAGCTGAACAGGCGATCGAGAATAACGGTACATAGTACTTGAAGTACAGGCGATCGAGAATAACGGTACATAGTAGGCTACTTGAAGTACAAGCTGTTGACAATGGTGTGCCTAGTTCCTAGTGCATATTGAATTTACCGCCAGCGTGAAAACGAGACCGGTGAATGAACAATTCAATGACATGCGCTTTTTTTTTTTTTTTTTTTTTTTTTTTTAATGAAAAAAGAAAGATTAGGATTGAAAAAAAAAAAAAGGAAAATCAATACTGCATGCACAACAATGCAGAGTTACAGGCCTTGGAAATGAGTAAATGGAGTTTATTTATAAACTCATCACGTGATATTAGCAGATAGAGTGTTTACTAATATACTTTGTAATATATCTCACATAACGAAGGAATTGTGGTTCAAAATATGCTCTAAGACAATGCAACACTCTAACATGAAATATTCATCTATCTCATTACGTTTAAAAGTTAATAAAAAAAGGCAAAGGGAAAATGCTGTGATGAACGTTGTAGAGAGATGTACGCACTACCGTATATAACACAATAAATAAAATTGAACCGTAATTTCTCTAGCTACCCAAACTGAAATACGAGTTTATTAAAAAAACGCGATTCCGTTTGCCGTTCTCTCTAGTACAGTGACAAAGAGTGGTCCTAATAATGGAGACAAGAAGGGCATCGTGTCAGAGAACCGCCCAACGGGCGAGGGAGCACGCTCAGCGCTTGCCTACAAAATTACCGTCTCGCTCCAGTGACGCAAGGTGTCTAGAGAAAAAGTGTGCAGCCGTCGCTTTGAATCAATGAGATAATTTCCATCCGGGGATCTTTTGTGTCACGTCCGGCAGACAGCCAAAATTAGGTTTGAAGGAACTAGAAAATTTATGAAAACACAAACAAAACAACCCTAAATGATGTACCATTGTACATTTTCATGAATGGACTATTGGAATCAACCCACAACGAGTTCATTGTTCTTAAAGAAATAGCCGGTGCAAACCAACATTTGACTTGGGTAAAATTGTTCTGATCAATGAATATTCGTCTGTGCCACACGCGGAACATTATCATTTTAATAACAAATCTATCTTAAATACATGTACCAAACAGCACTGAAGACGAGTTCTAAAAAAAAAAAAACAGAAATACATAATATTATATGTAATTATTATAATCTCTTATAGATCCATATATTGTGGTGTGACTGCTTCTTATTCCGGATAGTGTGCAAAATAGAATTCCCGATAACTACGTTAAATGATACACCGGTATTTTTTATATAACTCGACTGCGTTTGTTGCGTAATATTTTCTTTTCGGAAAATTAAATCATCACAATTTAAATATGGTATAAGCATAATAAATATTTTTGTAAGAGTTAAAAGTGGTTGGGACATCGGAATGTTATTATAGTTCATGGGCGTGAATTAAAAATTGTGCAGTGACATATCATTAGGAAAGGGATGTAGCAAAAAATGGGATTCTTAAATGTGCGCTACTTTAGTGCGTGTTTTGTCAAGTGACTTTAGTAGCTGGGAAGTTCACGCATTGCTATTGCCGACGTTTGGCGAGCTATAACTAGTAGTATCATGATAAACCAGTGATCTCTTATCTCAACCTTGTATTGTTTTCTACCACAGTAGAGGTGCATTTTAATTTGTTAAGTCTTAATTGTGTCAAACAAAGAGCACCCTCCCCCCCCCTCCCAAAAAAAAAAGCCACCTCAATTTCTGTTGTTTTTTTCAGCGTTTCAAATAAAATTTCAAAAAATGTATGAATGATTAACAACTCAGTTAGTGGTGTATTTAAAATTTTTTACCACAGTAGGGGTGCATTTTAATTTGTTAAGTCTTAATTGTGTCAAACAAAGAACCCCCTCCCCCCCCCCCCCAAAAAAAAAGCCACCTCAATTTCTGTTGTTTTTTTCAGCGTTTCAAATAAAATTTCAAAAAATGTATGAATGATTAACAACTCAGTTAGTGGTGTATTTAAATAGTCTCTGAAATGTATGAATGATTATCAACTCAATAAGTGGTGTATTTAAGTAGTCTCTGAAATGTATGAATGATTAACAACTCAATAAGTGGTGTATTTAAGTATTCTCTGACACCCCCACCCCCTTATTTATGTTATTGTACACTCCTTTTCCCCAAGAACCACGTTAAATCACCTTTCCTTTCCTTATTTTCCCTCCTCTATCTACTATTTTTACACTATAGCATTAGATAGAGACACAGTCGGTCCGCTAAATAATATTGGTCCACTAAATACCATAACGTTCTGTAGGGACCCAATTAGCCCACCGGTACTTTAAAGCAATGATAGGAACACAGCCGGCCCACGAAATGCCATCTCTTAGAATATAACGTTATATGGAGAAGCAGTCGCCCACAAAATGACTATAACGTTAAATAGGGTCACGGCCGGCCCACAAACTACGTGAAAGTTCTATATGGCCATGCCGGACACGGTGGTAACAGCCTTGTGCATTCATGATAACCCGGCTTATTGTTTCAGCCAATCAGCAGGCAAACATTGCCCGCAACCGTGCCGTAATAAAGATCCAAGATAGCTGCTTTTTAAAAAAAAAATATTTTTTTTTATCTCTTCTCTGTATCCCCGTCACCCTTTGAGCAACTCAACAAAATGGTCTCGACAGGCCGGCCAGCTGCCCTAAAGATTGCTGCAGAATTTATGACGTTTTTAAGCAGTTTTTATGAACGCGACAAAGCGCCAAAGTTATTTTAACAGTTGTTTTGGTGTGAAGATGATCGTAAATCTGGCCAGATAGTCGCCTCGCACTGTCTGGCGTGTTTACTTTTCCATCCCGTAGGGCTCCCTCTAGCGGCTCCCACTACCGGCTACTCAATAGCTTTTCCGCGGCGTTCAAAGGGAGCTCGGGCCGGCACAGTCGAGCTTCCTTCTGTTTTGATATTCAGATTTTTCTAAAGAACCATCGCGTCTCAGCAAACTCATAAAAAAAAAAAAAAATAATAAAAATATCGCCCCGATCTTGCGCAGGAAGATGAAGCTCACTTCTGCTTTCTTAGATCATCCCCCACGCTGAAATGTGCAGCGGTGACGCAGGCACGAGCCGGGTAAAGTGGCCGTGAAAATTGGGGACATTTTGAACCGTTGGCCAACTCGCACCGGGCACGCGCCCATACGATAAGAGCGCTAGCGTGTCCTAAATGGGCCCCTAGTTTAATTTGGTTTATGAGGTCTTTTAAAGGCAATACAAAAATTCCAATTGTCATCGCGCGCGGTTTAGAGTAATATTAAATTGTGGATCTTAATGAGATTTCCCCTAAAGATACTAGTCCGTCCCCCCGCCCCAGTCCGTGATGGCTGACTAGTCAACGGGTCTTATCGAGTCGATGCAGCGAGCCAATTAGCCAAGTATGCTTGAAACAAAAAAGAAATGTTTTAATTGAACCGTTGAGATAATTAATTCACTGCATGGGAAAACTTCGAAACTTGAGTTCACATTCAAGGTCGTTTTCTTTCTTTCAAGTCAAGATTTTTTTTGGTATAAGTTCTGCTTCGTTGACTGAAACCTACTCCACCGCCCTAACTGATAAAACAACCAGGTGCACAGCAACAACAATGACTTCATCGCAGACATTCAATGAGTGAGTCGTTTCGCAGTTTTAAACTAGAATCTCATTCCTATTTTGAATTTGCAATGAAACTTTCAATTATAGATTCATCAATTTATTTTTAAAACTTAACTGT